CAGGATACTGTATGTATGATCTCATATTCATCTCTAAGGCAGTCTCCAGCATCCACTGTTGTACGGGGTGAGCAAAGGACAGCCCTAAGGCACATCTTTTTGGACTCTCAGGCACCCCAACTGCCCCTAGAAAATGAGACCCTTCATTTGCCCCAGTGGGCGAAAGGGGTAGAGATGACCTGAGGCTATTCACGGGCCCAATTAATTTGAAGATTTAAATCGTAGCCCACAGACACGGAATAAGATCCACAAAATGAAGGCACAGTATAGAAAGAATCAGATGAAAATCAATGAATTATTAACACCATGCAATGCAATGATGAAATGAAAGATGGAAAGAAGACCAGCCCTCATTAAAGTATCAGGTGAAATTAGAGTTATGCAAAATTGGCCGCAGTCAGCCCTTTATAAAATACTATATTTGCCCCAACGTTCTATCAGCCCTGTAGTTGAAGCTCATCAGTCTTTGGCCTACAGACTGAGAAAGAAAGACCTTCAGTCTTAGAAGGAACAAGTTCCTGAAGATGTAGGTAAATGTGCAGGAAAATTGATCCAGGAGAATCCAAACAGGAAAATCAGAAGGGAAAAATGTAAAATAAAGTATTAAAATCTCTCTTTCTCTCTCTGTAAAATAAGTACATAAAATAAAACAATAAGGGAGGTGTAGAATCTCCCGTAAGGGGCAATCTAACCCATTGTAAAAACTGAACCTTTTCTCAGAATCAAATAAACTAAGGCCCCAAAGCCCCAGATCAGACAAAATCTACAAAAGGAAAAATAACATAAAAAGAAGTGAACTGAAAAGCATCTGCATGTGAGTGTGTATGAGTGTGACTCTCTGAGTCCCTTTGTTCCAAGCGACAATCACCTAATGTCCCTAATTTTTCTGTATTCTGGCTAGTTTCTTTATTTTCACCCCTAAAATTCAGTTCTGTATTGGCAGATGGCAAATTGTGGTGGGGGAAAGTGCATTGCACCGCCTTTCTTTATTCCCAGAGACTAAACCATCCCCTTGTCCTGTGGCACACAAAGTGAGCATAGTCTCTTCTGAAGGTAGACTCTGAGCCTGGGGCCATTGAAAGTATCCATCCTGGTAGCTTGTCCATAGCATTCCATGTCTTTCAGTTCAGCCAAAGCCTTGTTACCATAGCAATCAAGTATTTTTATTTTTTTTGCTCATTCCATTGTGCCAAAGTCCAGGCTGGGATAAATCCTCTGCCCGTTTTGCCCACAGAAAACAAGTCAGGTCTGCTGTTTATGAAACAAACCAAAGATTTCCTCAATTTCATTTCACCGGTCGGTGATCCAGTCCATAGGCCATATATATGTAGTCCATAGACCTTTTGTCCAGTGTAGCCTTGTATCCCAAAAATAGGACCTGATTAACACACCCTTGCAGTTTTTTTGTTTTTGAATGTTTTTGAATGCCCACAGTGAGAACATTCATGAAGCACATCCTTCAAAGTCACCCTCATCCCTAGGGCAGTCTCGAAGCTGTTATCAAGCCTAGTCTATCTGCACAAGCTGCTCCTAGGCGCAGATGGAAGTGCCACTTTGGAAACTATTGGCAAAATAAGGTATTTAAAAAGGAAGTGACCTGCAGGCAAGCTATTTCAACAACTATCTCCTTCCATGTCAGTTGGTTTTTATTGGGAAATCAGTGCACAGGTCAATTTGCTTTTGCTTTCCTTTTTTCGCTCAGCTAAAATGCGTGCAGTGCATCACTAGCCACAGATAAGCTAAAATATCCCATCTACAACGCAAGCAAGAAAGCCTGTCAGCCCTCTGGTTCTGACTGACGACCATTCTATTTTTAGTTCCTTGTGTCTGGCACAAGGTCTCCTGTTACTGTGCTCAGCTACCAACATGTGAGAGCTGTAGATCCCTGTGGCTATCAGTGTTTGTGAACTCTGATCCGTAAAGTGATTACGTCCCTGCTTATAGAGAGCTCTGCCTATTTGTAGGACAGTTGTTGCTACAGTTACAGCAAAAGAAAGGAACCATTTGTGGTATCTGCAATAGGATTTTTCCTCCCTCCTACATAAATCAAAGCGGTTTAAAAAACAATATTATAAAACTAATTTCTCTGACAGAATCGTTATGTATATTGAGAGGGATACCAACACTCTTCTTATGATGTGGCCCATTTAATCTAAAACTTGCCTTGCTTTGTGAAGTCTTTTTTAAACATATAATTTTCGCTGTTAAAGGAGCATTCTGCTTACAGCATTCTGAATAAGATGTTATTCTAAAGTTTATTGCATACTGTATATAATGTACAAGTTATAAATTTCAATGCCATAAGAGGTTCAAGAATATTCTCAAGGGGTAATGCTTTGTCCAAAACGACTGAACTTTGATTAAAACCATCTACCAAAGAGAAAAGAAAAATGATTGTACATCGTAAAGTTTATTACTCCAGAATGCAATAAACAAGCTCCAGTGTATTTCTTAATAAAACCATCTAAGTTTACTTTTGTACATCTCAAAAAGCAGACATGAGCATTAGAAATGGGGGTATTTGTATACGAATATCCCCACATAGCTGCAGTTAAAGAGGGTCTGGCCCCTAGGGTTGGACCGGCCACTCGCTCGTCCTCCCTCCCTCTACCTAGAGTGGCTAGCCAAGTCGGAAGAGAGTGGCGCTCCAGGAGTGATTGGAAGGTTGAGTGAGGCTGCCAGATACATGAATGGAAGGTCCCACCCCAAGGGCTGGATGCTTGTTAAGTCCAGTTGCGCAGGGATATTTGTATGAGAGGCCAGAGCAGTCCACCTCCTCACACATTTACCTCCACCTGCTTTCCAAATGCCTGAATAGTGCCAAATCTTGTTCAGACACTGGGAAACGTGGGTTGAAATAAAGGTGTGGAGAAATTATTATAGTATTACACACAACAACTATGAGCACTGGGAAAGGTGGGCTGAAATAAAGGTGTGTAGAAATGAGAAAATTAACTCTTGAATAGGGACACTTGCATAGCATATTTCAGAACATTGTAATATATTATTTTTAGTTTCCTTTATTTGTTACTTTTTTAAAAATCAACAAGTTCAAAGTGGAGGATGTGTAGAAACCAGGATGGGATTCTTCACAAATGGCTGGAGTATCATCCTGGTTGGAGCCAAGGGAGCTTGGGGTTCAGCAATACCTGGCGCTTCCTCTCCTCCAGTTTAAATAACATTCTCTCAGTACTGTTCTCTATCACTCGCCTTTCTCTCAAACTGGGATTAGGGCAGCTCACAGTAAGATTAAAAACAGATTGAGATTAAAAATGAACACATAGTAGTATATAAAATACAATTTAAAGGGCAAATGGATTAAAGGCTATTTAAAAGAATACTAATAGAACCACACAGAACCATTGTGATTCTTCTCAGCCCCTCTGTCTCCTTCTTGAATGTTGTGATGCACAGACAAGTCACGCAACTCGTGGTTGTCCAATAAAGCATCTTTATTGTGTAACATCTGGTCATGGTCTTTCTTAACTGAGACCTCCACCTCATGTTTCAAAGCTGGGTCATAACATTGGTTATCATCAAATGCCAACAAGTTTCCCTTCAACATGCGGGGAGAAGAATTCCAAACTTGCCCGTACCATTTAGGTGTGGTGCCCAAAACTTCTGGCAGTAGCCTAGACAGCATTGCTGGGGTGTGTGTGAAAGGTCCAGCCCACTTGCAGCTCCCAAGCCCTTTTTCCTGGATCTCTCCTCAACTTGGGTCTGAATGGACTAGTTCCACGGGGTCTCCCAGGATTCCCTGTTGCCCGATTGCCCCCTCTCCATGGTGCCTCTCATTGCTGCCAGGCTTGAAATCCTTTCCTCTGTTTCCCCCCAATAAGGTGGTTTTTTTGTACATCTGCTTCTTCCACTCTTTCTCTGTGAATTCTCTAGGCACTTTAAACTCTATCCACTCCCCTGTCTAGGAGTCTTCCTGTACCAACTCTCCTAAATCCTCCTTTTCCTCCACTTTCTCTGTACAGTACTTTCTGACCTCTCCTTCCTCAATATCCAGCAACCCCCTCCTTTCCTTTCCTTTCACCCTTTTATCCTCCTCTCCTTTCCTGCCACAACAACACTCTCTGTTGTCTCTCCTGCCACGCATATTCCTTGTAAATCCTCTCCTATGCCCGACAGGTGTCCCCGGTGCTTCTTTCTGAAGAGATGGATGGTACACTCTGGGAAGTACCTATGTGTCTGAGAAGACACATCGGTTTTGGAGATAAAGCACTATAATGCGTTGCAACAGGAGAAGTTGAATGAAAAACGGCCACCAAAGCTTCATAGCCACTAGTACATGATACCAGTCGGAATTTCTTGAAGGCAATGGATGAGGAAGAATGCAACATAACCCCAGTCTACGATAGGAACAGAGTATCTTCAGAATCAGAACCATTTTAGCCTAATCTGTATATGACTAAAAAGTCCTCACTTATTATAGTATTACACACAACAACTATGATAGTTTGAAGATTTTTACGTCATGCATTCAATAACCCAACAAATATTGCCTGCCTGATGTAAACCTGCATGTGCCTCATGGGTGCATCTAAGAACCATTTTGGAAAACCAGTGTGGAAAAGAACGAGCATGTTCGATTTAGGAAACCTGGGCTCAAGTCCCTACTTAAATGGCAAATCTTACTGGATGATTTAGGGACCAGTTAACTGCTTTTAGCCCAACTTACCTTGCAAGGTCCCTGTGAAGATAAGCAGAAGCTCTTCGGTTAAATAGTAGGATACACATGTGAGAAACAATTGTATTTATAACAGCCACCTACAGCAAGAATATAAAGGGCTTCTGGGAGGTCCCAGAAATGTGAGTAGCTATGTAAGTTTGTCCTTCTTTATTTATATTCTTCCCAATTAAATGAAACACAGCTCTTAGAAGAAAAATAACCCAATGGGAGACTGACTAGACTCTTGAAGTTTTCTAAGCAGGGGTCATCTTTTTTCCTTTCCAATCCCTTCTTCAACAAGGACACAAGAAACCATACATGGACATTCCTGAATGGTAAAACTTTAATATGCATTTTCCAATGAAAAGACAGAACATACGGCTAATTAATGCAGGAGAAACACATCTTCAGTGATGCCCCTCATCTTTGTCTTGTTTTCGACTATCAAGGGCATACTCAACTGCCAGAGCTACCACAAAAGCTGCAAATCCCCACTTGAAACCTCTGAATATGACGCTTGTCAAAGTGGCAGGTTTTGCAAAGTCACCCATGTATCTCCATGCTTCATTGCTAGAGAAGATACAAAGACCAAAAGTTAATTCTGCCACTCAACCCATTGCCTAGAAATTTAATGACAGATTCTGAAGCAACATTTCAATACAAAGTGTGTATAGACTGTTGTCTACAATCTAGGGTCTTTAATAAACACCCCCATGCTTATATTTCCAAGGCTTCATATAATTTTCCATGATTCTCGACTATAAACATTGGGCTACTGGTGCCAGTTTCAAATGAAGTTGTCTGTGGAAGAATAGCTCTTGACATATTTTAATGCCCTAATGGGAATATTTGTTCAAATAATCCAAAATCAAATTACTTTGCTGGATTTTAACTATATTGTTTCTTGCAAATATCCTTTGGTACTTATTTTTCAGAACTATAAATGCTTGCAATTTAACAAGAAAAGACATCTGGCAAACAGATATAATGAATCACTGTATAGATTTTAGGGAACCATCCTATGCACACTTACCTCACAGTAAAGTCTCACCCGTCTCAATGAAACTTACATTTAAGCAGACATGCACAGGATTGCACCTGTTCGTTTAGAACTAAAGGAGAACTGCATTTTACTTTCATACTTGTAAAGACCACAGTTGTTGTTTATATAAGTTTTGTACAGCTCTATAGTAACATCATACAACCAAACCTACTTTCCTCCTAATATAACAAAGACTTCTTCAAAAGTGGACAATGATTGTCCTAGACTCTTCCTTTGTTGAATGCCGGTTGACAAGCTTCCAGTAGGGAGACAAGAAGCTCTGAAGCAGATTTCTAAGACTTTAACTTGATGCCATTGCTGAAGTGAACTTTTGAGCATTGATTTTATTTGGATGGGGTTCTTTGCCTCTCCAGGTATGTAGAACTATAACTCCCACAAACTTTTACCAAAGGTTCCCAACCCTGACTAGAGCAAATAGAAGATTGCAAGATTGCAGTCATGCCAGCTCTTACCGAAGCCAGGGATCCCTGAGGCCTCGCCGAGCCAACTTATCTTGGACAGTCTGCAGGGGAGTACCTTCTATCTTCCACTGCCTGTAATCGGGAAGCTGTAGTTTGCCATGCTCATGTTCTTTTCCATGCCCCATGTTTCTAGAAGAAAGAGTTTAAAAGCAGATCAAGAAGATATACTCTACAAATGTATATAAGCAGTGCAAATAGATATTGATCCAAATGCAATTATTAGACCCAACCTGAGCAGACCCATTGAATTAAAGGGAATTTAGCAAGTCAACGTGCATATAAATACCATTGATTCAATGGGCCTATTCTAGTTGGGAGTAATAACTGGATTTTCTAGACCAATGTTTTGGCAAAACAATAAGAAGTGCACCCTACTCCACCCTATGGCCACATAAGAAAAATTATATTATTCAGAGTATTTAAATGACAAAAACCCTCTGTGATTTTCATAACATAATGTTTCAAACAGAGTTTCTGAAAGACTGGCAACAACTGGATCACCTTGCTTTAAGAAATGAAGTGGAATGAGAGGAACTGGATTTATTAAGTGGTGCTCCATTTGTACTACTTACACATAGTACCTGAAGCCTACTAATAACTTCCACTGAATGGATGGGAAGACTAGCCTTACTATAAAAGAGAGCACCCTTCTCTTGCCAGTCATGTTCTTTTTGTAAACCAAGTCAGATTCCCTCTGAAAATCTTCCCTCCGTTCACCAATTTCATTCCAACACACTTCACCCAATCTTAAAGTCAGATTTACTGAAATCATGAAATAGTAGGGTAGTGAAGAGGAAGGTTTGTTAAATATGGAAAACAGAGAATTCATACTTTGAATCCTCCAATTTATGAATACTGTAGAAAATTAGTTCCAAAGATTTCATTGAAGTAGATTTGTTGACCCTTGATAAGTGTTGTCCAATAAACCATTCATTAGGGTGACTCACATACAATCTTTATTTGCTCAGGACTCAAAAACATAATGACTGCAACAGCCAGGGAAAGATTACAACCCCAACATAAAATTCTTCCTTCAGAGCAAGGTAGATTTGGTTTAAATCAAACTGATTTAAATTACTATTTAAATCATGGTTTAAATTTTTTAAATTGGATTTTTTTAATAATTTAAATTTTTAAAAATCATTTTAAAATTTAAATTGTGATTTAAATCAATTCAATCTTAACATAAATAATTGATTTTCCCTCACCCTGCTTCTGAGTAATTTTCAAATTCTTCCTTCTGAGTAATTTGCAAAGAAATAGTCACGATGATCTGTTTCAGCACTTTAGCAAAACACAAAATAGGACAAATACTGTAGCACTTTAAAGACTAATAGTTGTATTTCAGTGTGACTTTTCAAAGATCAAAAGCCATTTCTTCAGATGCAGAAGTGCAAATATATGTCCCCTTATTCTGTCATGGTCAGATTCATGTCCAAGTCCAGATACAGGTAATGAACAAAGTGAAAATTATTTGTTAACACAGGAACAGGACTGTGCCAGTTTTTCCCCCATATCTACACTGTTGGTACTATCAAGGGTCCCAGCAATGTCAGTCACAATATCACGGGGTCATTTGCTAATGGGATTTATGTCACTGTCTGCTACCAGTGCCCCTCTACTGTCTGCATAAGGACAATCCTGTGCAAAAGCACAAATGTACACAAATCTGACCTCAGGAAGAGCAACACAGGGAAACCTGTTTCAGAATATTTCAGCCTGGAATGACAATCTGTAATGGCTCTCAAAGCAGCTATCATAGAAAAAAAATAATTACACAGAAAGACTCGAGGAGGAGACAACAAAAACTGGCTCCATGTCTAAGTCCCACACAAGCAAATGAAACAAGCCTAAGCCCAACCAGACACTTCAAATACAAGCAGGCAATGTTGGGGCACAACTCTCATCGTGTGTAGGCATCCTTCAGTCTCAAGAGACTATGGCAACGTGCTCTGTATGGAGCAGTTGAAACAGCATCTAGTGTGGCTGAGAAGGCCAATTTGAGAGTGACAATCCCTTTCACACTGAAGACCAATCCAATCTGTCCCCTGTCCAGCTCCCTGATTTTGCTGGTTTCGTGACTGCCTCTTTGCCTCGGCCTGCTGAACAAGGGTCTCTTCGAATTGGGAGAGGCCGCGATGCAATGCCTGCCTCCAGGCTGAACGCTCAGATGTCAAATTTTCCCATCTGTTGAGGTCCATTCCTAAGGCCTTCACATCCCACTTGCAGATATCCTTGTATCGCAGCTGTGGTCTCCCTCTGGGGCGATTTCCCTGCCCTAATTCTCCATACAGGAGATCTTTTGGAATCTGACTGTCAGCCATTCTCACAACATGCCTGAGCCAACGTAGACGTCGCTGCTTCAGTAATGTATACATGCTAAAAATTCCAGCTCGATCTAGGACTACTCTATTTGGAACTTTGTCCTGCCAGGTGATACCAAAATTTTATCAAAAACAACACATATAGAACGTGTTAAACTTCATCTCCTGCCATGCCCAAAGGGTCCAGGACTCACAGCAGTACAGAAGAGTACTCAGGACACACGCTCTATAGACCTGGATCTTGGTATATGTCATCAGCTTCTTATTGAGCTATCCTTGTGAGTCTAGAGCAGTGGTCCCCAACCTTGGGCCTCCAGATGTTTTTGGACTTCAATTCCCAGAAATCCTGGCCAGCAGAGGTGGTGATGAAGGCTTCTGGGAGTTGCAATCCAAGAACATCTGGAAGCCCAAGGTTGGGAACCACTGGTCCAGAGAACATGGTAGCTGCTTTGCCAATGCGTTTATCCAGCTCGACATCTAGAGTGACAGAGATCCTTGAGCCAAGGTACACGAAATCATGAAAAACCTCTAATTCTTGTGTAGAGATGGTAATAGAGAGAGTTGAGTCCACACCCTGGCCCATGACTTGTGTTTTCTTCAGGCTGATTGTTAGTCCAAAGTCTTGGCAGGCCTTACTAAAACGATTCCTAGGTTGTTGAAGCTCTTCAGCAGAATGGGTAACAACAGCTGCATCATCGGCAAAGAGAAAGTCCCACATGCATTTCAATTCGACTTTGGTCTTTGTTCTCAATCTATTATTTATTTATTTATTTATTTGATTTGATTTGATTTGATTTATATCCCACCCATCTGGTATATTTATCTAGAGTGATTACAGAGCTTTCCATCTGATCTAGTCTGGAGATAGATGCCTTCTGTTGCACTTCCAAAAGCATGCTTCAGCATGACAGCAAAAAAGATCTCAAACAGAGTCGGCACGAGGATACAGCCCTGTTTCACTCCACGTCAGATGTCAAAGGGACCTGATGTTGAGCCATCAAAAACTACAGTGCCCTTCATTTCCTCATGAAAGGATCTGACAATGTTAAGGAGTCAAGGTGGACATCCAATCTTGGGAAGTATTTTAAAAAGGCTATCCCTGCTAACCAAATCAAAGGCCTTTGTGAAATCTATGAAGGCCACAAAGAGTGGCTGTCATTGTTCCCTACCTTTCTCCTGCAACTGTTTGAAGGAAAATACCATGTCGATGGTGGATCTAATCCACACTGTGATTCTGGGTAGACTCTGTCTGCAAGCACCTGGAGTCTCTTCAGCACAACACGGGCAAGCATCTTCCCTACAACTTTCATAACTTGGCAATATTTTATGAGAATTGCCATCCCACAATGTCTCACTCACTCCAGCTTCTAATTATAAGGGGGGATATACCCCAATGGATTAAATCAGGAGTCCCCAATCCCTGGTCCACTGCCCGGTACTCGGCTGTGGCCTTGGCAGGACTGGGCCACAGAGACAGATCTCCCGACATCGCATTCACTGGTTCATACTTAATTACTTTAGGCAGGGAAGTAGTTTTCTTGGGGCTCTTGAGAGAGGGATGGAGAGAGCCAAAGGATTTGGATGGATGATATGGTTAGTTAAGGAAGATGCACCGTTTGCACCATGGCCCATGGAAAATCCAGCACTGAAAAAAACTGTGATGCCCCCTTCCTTTGCTAATGCCCTAAGCACATGATTATTTTGTTAATGGCTAATCCGAGTGAGGTTCATGATTCCTGATCTACCAAAGTGTCTTGAGAACTGGTTCTCTTGGGAATCTCCTTTGCTGGACTGGGTAAGGGAGCATAACAGATACACCACTGAATCTTTTTTTCCCCTTTTTATTGAAGAACAGAAAAGGTACATGATTGGTTTTACCCACCCACCCCAGCTTGAATGGTAACCATTCATATATTTGTTTTAACAACATTTAATGGAAGCCAATGAGAATGCAACCCTTTGTTATATGGTAGCACTTTGAGTTTCAATATTTGACCACACTAAAGTATGGCAATCAGACAGATCCCAAGGAATTCTTTTTAAAAAAATAACTATGATCAAGAGAAAACATGCCATTTTAAACAATATGTTATTCATTAGTTAAATGTTGCATTAAATCACATTTAAATAAGCTCCCTAAGTTTTATCAGTACTGTATGTAGACTGTCCCACTAGAGGGAAAAATACCTTGGATCAGGTATATAGTAACATCATGCATGGATATAAGATGAATGGTTTGGGAGTAGCTTTGTAGTGGACGAAAAAGCTCTACAGAGAACCATTAAAACTGCCCAGAATATCATCAGGCTCCAGCTACCAACCCTGGATGACATCTTCACATCCCGCTGTCTGAGGAAGTCACACAACATCCTAAGAGACTTTCCCCATCCTGCTTACAACTTCTTTGAACTGTTACCGTCTGGCAGAACAATTAAGACTCAGACCACATGTTTTCTAAATAGTTTTTATCCCAGAGCTATAATTGCACTTAATAATGATTTTAAAGACCACCAGTAGTGAACAGTTGGATGATGTAAATGCTTGTATTTTAGTGGGGGGGGGAGTGTTTGGGGATTTTTTTTTATGTGTGTGCATGTGGGTGTGGTCTCTGAGTGTCTGTGTGAATTTCGTTGTATGTGTATACTATGTGTATAGACTTACAATGACAATAAATTTATTTATTTATTTAAAAGCAACAGTTGATTTTACGATTAATCTTTAAAGAACATGGATTCTAAGAGCTGCTCTGCAAAGTAGTGAAACATCAATTTTTATGAACAAGATGTACTGACTTGCATTAGTTATACTCTGGACTGTATATAAAATAAATTAGAAAATGAGGTTTTCTAATGGTAGCATATGCATTTGACTGAAGCAAGACAAGCACCAGAAGAGAGTCTGCATATCCTGAGACCTAAATTATGCAACTAATAGGTAACTAATAAATTAAACTGGCATATTTCAATCCATATGATAGATCAGAAAGTATATTTTAATGAGAATTTTCACAAGTTTCATATGGGAATTTATATTTCCAAGGCATAATGTATTCTGACAAGACTTCATGTTCTTGATTAACTTTTTTTTAAATGAAGGGTAGAATTCTACATCTCGATAAAGAAGTAACATGTTGCATCCATCCTAACTCCTGCCTGATACTCCTGCATCCACAGTTCACCTAGGACTTGAAACATTGGGCTGACAGCACAAATAGTGTCAAATTATAACCAAGTTGTTTTTGACACTTATTTTAGGCAGTAAAGCTTTATAGTGGAATAAGTGCCACTATAAACAATGACACTCAGGTTTGAACACGTACAGGATTGCGCAGCCAAGTAACAAATGTACTTTAATCAGTTTTATATTTATGACCATTTATAAATGAGTTAACGTTTATTGAAAAACAAGAACACTAACTTTTACAAGGTGGAGTTACTACAGATTATACCAATGCTCTAGCATCTTGAATTATCCTTTAGAGACAATAGGAAGTCAGCTGAAATGCTGAAACATTAATGTAACATACGCCTATCACACTAGCTACCATCAGAAGTGAGTTTCTGTCTTTTAAATTGGCTGAAGTCTCTGGACAATCACCAGATAAAAAAGCTATAGTAATTGACATTCTAGATAGTGGGGACATAAAGGAAGGCTGCTGTCAGTCTTTTGCCCATATGGAGGTGGTGCAGGACTTTCTTGCCACTGCTGTCAGTGTGGTGAAGTCTTTAAAGAGTCACACTTAAAAATGGAGATGTTTATATTCTCCTTCAGCTTACAAACGTCACTAGAAGACCATCAGTTAGAAACTGTCTCTCGGCCTAATTTACCTCACAGGGTTGTTTTACTGGTAAAAGGGCACAAGGTAAGGTGAAAATGAAGTAAAACATACAGTCCCAAACACAGAGATGAACCAAAGACCACGCAGAGCCTACAAGCCAGAATAATTGAAGTGATGGGTCCTGTCTGCATCCCACCCCAACAATAGCATTACACTATAACATGCCGACTATTCCTCAGTTAGGAACCATTCACCTCAACTGATTTTCCAAGTCAGAGGTGGGGGGGAATTTGGTTACTTGGCACAAGGTTTTTGTGGACTGCAGCCCATCTGTCTGATGCAATGAGCTACAACCTACAAAAGCCTAGGTCAAATAAAATTTGTTAACTTGTATGGTTTCATAAGATGCTTTGTTTTAGGTATTTAACAGTCTCTATTTGATCACTTTAATTGCTGTTTTCATCATGAAGGACCACCCTCATACACTTCACTTCCTCCAGTGTAGTGTAAGCAAGTACCCAGTTTGTAAAGCAGAAGAAAGGTAACATCTGCCTTCAGACCAATGTTAGTTCCATATGTTTCATTGAACCAGACTACGCTGGGATCAAAGAAGAAAATCTTTATGCATAAACAGCTTTAATGCTATTTACATTTAATAAATCAAAAACCAGTCTGTGAAACCAATGCAAATGTTCACAAAGTAGTGTAAGTGTTGGTGGCCTGTCATACCCTATTTCCACCACATAGCACACACTGTGCTGAGCATCAGTTACAGGTTTTAAGCACCCATCACAGGTAATCACTGACTATAGTCTACAATAATGGTAAAGAGATTCCCATCTGAAATAAAAGCTAAAGAAGGATGAATGAGGGACTATCTCAAACGATACTAGTGTTGAACAGCTGAATGTCATCAATGTGTGTATTCTACTCAGTTCTCACAGTAAGGCTTGTCAACTATCATTATTTCAGGTCTGAGGAATTCATATTTAGCCATTTCACCTGAAACAGAAACACAGCTTAGCTGTTTTTAGCAGCTTGAGCACTGCGGGTGCAGGGGACAAATTTATTTAAAGATGAACATACAGTATAAGTTGAAGATGATTACTTCATTAATAATACTGGACTGCTTCTGTAAAGCCAGGTCTTGTGACCTCCAATGTACAATGAGCAGGCTAAAGCCTGTACTAGGGTAATCAGGATAAATTATTTTTTAAAGGAATAGTAAAGTGTTGGTGGACTTCAGATTCTTATACTATCATCACTCTCATAACAGTTTTCCCTTCTAATCACTTTACCAAAATAATCATGTTAATTTCTTTTAAATTCTGATGTGTTGACAGTGTAATTCAATACTTAGGGCGAGCTAAAACATGAGAAAGATTTCTTGCAAAAAAATCTTTATATTTTGGAAAAAGTGACAATGCACCAACCATGCTATTCTTTATATTTAGTACACAAGAGGTGAGTGGAATGCAGAACTGACATTATACCACTGATGTGTGAATAATTCCAGTGCAGAAAACAAGCAAAGGCCATTGAAAAACAAGCTATGATAACAAATCTGACTCAACAAAAACCTAAATATTGTAGCACCTTTAATACTAATAAATTTATTTTATTCATTCCTTCATAAATTCACTTCTTCAGATATGTCCCATTTATTTTTAAAAACGCCACAATAGTTTTATTTCTATCTCTGTTTGTTACTGCTGAAGCAAGCTAACACATCTACCTCTCTGAGCTATGGCTCCACACTAGCCATTTTCAATGGGAGCCATATGGCCCCTTGGCACATTTGAAGACTGGAATCAATTCTTCACATACCACCTCATAAGATTTGTTTTGTGGTTTTTACACAATCCCAATTCAACCTCTATTTTCCTTCATATTATTGCCATGGCAAGAAAAGAAGAAGAAGAAAAAAAGAAAAAGACAGGTTGTGGTCAGCAAACTCTAATCCAACCAAGATTAACTATTCAATCTAGCTAATAAGTAACTAGATTAGCATATTACTGTGCTGTTTTAGGCTGAAATGCAAGCTAGCAATGAACTCTGGTAATACCTTCCTCTCGCCTACATTGACTGAAGCTGTTTGGAACCACAGGCTGCATATTTATCACTTTTGAATTATATAATTCCTTTCTCCAAATATTTCAAGAACGTGGTTATTTTCTGTGTCTGATCACATAACGCTACAAATTTTAGGGTTATGTTTTTCTGGGCACTCAGAAGACCATTCAACACCTGCTTTTCCTCAGCATCGACCTTTTCATATGAAGTTTTGTATAATAACACTATCCTGCCATTCATCTGAAAGACAAAGAAGCACTAATTCCAGAGTTTATTCACAACAACTTTGGAAATCAGGAATAACTCTTTACAAGTAGGGAACCAGTCAATGTTGCAATGCCTTTGTTTTTAAGTTACTGCACCATCATGATAGACTCGCCATCCCAGTACAAGTCCCGTCTGCGACCCTCCCCTGACATTACGGCAGATAATGGGGCTTCGTCTGAAAAACCCAACCAGAAACCAACTGCCGGGGTGGTGGTGGTGGAAACAGAATGAAAATCGCTCTCACCCGCACCTTATACTTCAATGACACTTCTTCGCCAGACCTTCCGACAGCTTAACCGGAAACGGAAACCAGGCTGCCTTCTCGGGTGCTACCTTCCCTAGGGAAACCTGACTGCGCAAACAGGTTCCGCGGCTGGAAGGCAAAGCCCCGCCCCTTCCTTCGGACTCTTTCTCCTGACGGAGTTTTCCTATTCGCTGCGAGAGAAAACCCGCCCTTCCTTCCTCTTCCCAGCCAGCACGCGCCCGGGCGAGGTACGGAAGCCAATGAACGCGGCGCTTGTTGGGGGCGGGCCACTGCCCAATGGGCGGGCGACTTGTTACGTTGCGGGGCCGCGGCTGCCGCTGCTGCGACGTGAGCCACCGCGCCGGCAACCATGGTGGTGGGGGCTCCGGCAGGGGGAGGACGCTGAGGGGTCGCGGTCGCGGGGCGGAGGAAAGCAGGACGCCGGTAAGCCCGACAGCCCGCCCTCCCTTCCTTCTCTCTCTTTCGGCGGTCTCCCCCGGTCTCCTCTCCTCCGCCTTCAAGTTCTTTGCTTGTGGGACCCGCAGTGGGGCTCGGGGGGGGGGCGGCGGCGGGAGCAGAGGCCGGTTACGGAGGGGGCACCTGAAGGAGCCTCGCTGGATCCACGGAGGCAGTGGCAGCTTGGCTCCCCTTCCGTAGCGCTCAGCTGTCAGCAGCGCCCGCCGGCTCTTCCCCTTCGCTGCCCTGACCTCAGCCCTTACGTTTCCTCCCTTCCCTGGAGGTCCAGCTCCGTCCTCTCCTCCCTCGGGCTCCGAGGCTCATCTTCCCTCAGGATCTCCCCACCCGCCGTCTCTCCCTCCCTCCCTCCCCTTGCTTACCACAGGAGGAACGGACAGGCAGCTAGCTTCTCTCTCCCTCGCCTTACCCGTGACCAGTCGAGGTCTCCTTCATACGCCTCTTGGACGTGACGGTTGCTCTTCCTCAGCCTCCTTCTTCCCATGGCTAGACCTTCTTTCGCAAGGCTAGACCTTCTTCATCCTTGCACATACATCTTCTGGGATAAGCCCCACTCGGGGACTCTCCTGAAATCCCACTGTTTTATCTTGGAGCGTTTATCTCAGGTCAAGACAGGCTTGTTTTCTAATTTTTTTTAAAAAAAAATTAATTGTTTTTAAAGTTTTTAACATGTTCAAAGGCATTTCTTTTTCTGAAGGCAAACTCGGGATTCAATGCGTTCTTATCAGAAATGGTAGCAAGACACTTCCTGTTCTCCTCAAAACAAGTGGCCTAATCCTTTTTAAGGCTGTGCTTTGTGTTTTAATTTCACGGTGTTCATCACTGGGATGCTTAATACCCTCCCCTTGCCAAGATAAGCAAAAATTTCACACTTGACATTGCTTTCTGAATTGCTCTTGGGAATCTGCCGCAACTCCTTAACTTATGATAGTGTGGGAAATGTAACAAAACAAATACATAAGCAAACTTAGTAGCCATGTTTTCTATATATCTGTAGGTTATGTAACCGCTTAGCAATATTGCATGCTGATGTACATTTACCAACCTTGCATAGAGCATACATTGAAACGTGATATGTATTGTAACTTCTTATAAAAAGCTAGAGGTGCTTATGAAGATAGAAGAGAAAAGGCTACCATATTGACACCTGAACATACAGTTTAGAATGGTTTCCTTAAAATAATAGACAAGAGTTCGACTTTCAAGAGCGCAACTAGTTTTTCAGGAACAATATGCTGTATTTATTTATTTATTTTATTTTATTTCATTTCATTTATCTGGATGAGGACCACTCTAGGCGGCTAACAACATAAAATAATATATATACATACTCTGTGTGTGTTTGTCTGTGTGTGTGTATATATATATTATTTATAAAACAATTTTTACATAACAAAAACATAGAACAAGATAGAAGAGACAATAGGAAAGGGAAGAAAAGGGCGTCAGGAATTATCTGATGGGAAGGCCTGCCGAAACATCCATGTTTTTAATTGATTCTTAAGATACCCAGCAAGGGAGCCATGCTAATCTCATGAGGTAGATTGTCCCAGAGGCGAGGAGCCACCACCAAGAAGGCCCGATTTCTTATCTTTTCCTTCCGGGCCTCCCTCGGCATTAGGCTCTTCAGCCTCACCTTCTGGCTTGCACGAGTGACACGGGTAGATCTTGGTGGGAGTAGGTGTTCCACCAGGTATCGAGGCCCTAAACCGTTTAGGGCTTTATACGTAAGCGTTAACACTTTGAAGTCGATGCGGAACCTGATGGGCAGCCAATGCAATGCGGCCAGAGTGGGTGAGATATGTTGGTATTTTTTCACTCCACTAAGTAATCTGGCCACCGTATTCTGCACTACCTGTAGTTTCCATATTTGGGCTTTTCTGATTTAGGATAAAGTCTAGGTAGAAGCTTGGATACTCTTTTAAATGTTATCCTCTACAATTTTTGTCAGACTTTTAAATTTTATTCAGGGTAACCTTCTATTATAATCTTGGTCAGTGTTCTAATATTTTGTATAAGGTAATTAAATACCGGAGAAAATGATTCCATTTGGACCATTGTTGCCTGTCCTTAATTCATTTTATAGTTGACATCTTCGTTTCTTTAAGATAAGATCTGACAGATCTCCAGTTCCTCAGTTGCAGTGACAAGCCAGGTGGAAGCAAAGGTGTCTTCACAGGCTTCATTTTACATAAGATGTAAAAGCGATTAATGATATATCTCCAGCTAAGGAAGGATTTTGACTACTTTATACATGAACACTTACTGATTTGTCATACACTGTATGTAGTATGTTATGGTTAAGTGGACACATTACTTTTTGCTGTCACTGAAGTATGCTTAACATGGGTGGTTATGATCATTTTCAAAGAAAATATTATTTTTGATTCATAGGAATTTGTCATTGGACACAATCTGCCTTCTTTAGTAGAATATGTTTCTTTTGAACTACACAGATGGTTACATTGTTACTAATTGGACTAGATAATGTTCTTATGAGACATTAATACTGTGTTGCTTCTGGACCCTGGTAAAACTGAGCAAATTGTGAAGCGGTTTTACACTAAATCTTCTCCCTCAAAATTTGTCCTGTTGAAAATGGTAAATGAGCAGCAGCTAGATACATGCAACTTCTTAAATCAGTAATTTCAAGTCAATGTACAGTTGTATGGCTGCTACTGAAGGCATTTTTTATAATCCTACAGACTTGTTGGTACCCAGGCTTCCAACCAACCTAACCCATCCTAGCTGTGGACTACAACTTGTTGCATTTAAATATTACCATATGCATGCATTGCTTCAAGCTCTAGTGCTTCTGTTCTTTGCAAGTAGCAGTTAGTAAGATATCTGTGTTGGGAGACTGGTGCAGAGATGAACTTTTACTTTGGCATGGCTAGGGTGGAGTTGTTGGTGGGAAGAGTTCATGAGTGCATCAGGTGAATGTGGAAGTATTTCACTGAAATCTCTTGTCTAAATTGTAGCCAGTTCACTGTAAGGAAGTGCATGTATTTGTTCAGGGTTACACGAGTTCATCTTGAATTCCTATTTGCCAAGGTACACACAGGGTTTATACCAGTGGTTCTTAACCTTTTTGAAAGAAACGCCCCCTTGAGCCATTGAGGAAGTTATCATCGCCCCCCTCC